TAACAGAGCTAAAAGACAGCCAACAGAGTGGGAGAAAATATTTGCAAAATACATATCTGACAAAGGACTAATATACACTTTTAAAATTTCTTGGTCTTGGGGGTTTTTTTCCTCCTAAGGTAAAATATAGCCATATAATGTAGTTATCTTAGCCTAGCTGTCTCTATGTTGTGTCAAAAAAAAATATCTTTTGTACTCTGTGTCCTGACCCAGTTCTCACCCAACCTCCCTCCCGCTCCCCCCCACACTCCACTTTGTAGCCCTCTGGTAATGGCTATGCCCCCAGTGTGAGTCTGGCCCTCACATCATAGGCAGGAGGGGTGACAGATAACTTCGTATCTCATGAATGTTCTTAATAAAGAAAAAAGTATATTGGCCTTTCCAGTGCTGAGTTTGGATGTGCATCGAGAGGGCCCTGGATTTACTCGATGTTAAGGAAGGACCAGGAAGCAGCTCTCCAAGGACCCCAGCTGCACCCTCAGGTCTGTCCCAGGCAGGGCACAGTGAGGCAGCACCACCTGCTGGGCAGGGGAAAGGCCATTGAAGTCACTGCAGCTTCTCTGCGGTGGCACAAGGAACTGCCCCTTCTTTGGGTTGACAAGATTGTCCCCTGTATGCCAAACTAGGGTTGGGATATCTGTGGCTTCACCTGGACTCTCAGCTCCCTAATAAACTCCACAATTGGAAGAAAACAACAGCACAGGTTCCCTGAGGCTCCACTCCAGTCATTGGTAACTGGCTCTCTGCCACCACGCCCCATCCTCACCTGCTCCCCAAAGTCGAGTCCCATCTGTTTCCACTGTGGCAAGGCTACTGAGGGGGCAGAGCATGATGCAGAGCAGCTTCTACCTGGTCACAGCAGTGGCTGCCCCACGGATGCTTGAACACACCAGTGTGGACCAAATACAAATTTCCCTTGTAGTGACCTGGTGCGTCTCAACTCCAGGTTCGAAAGAGTCAGTTGTTGCTCTTGCTCTTGCCTGGGATACATGAGATCTCTGTACGTCATCTTTACCTGGTGGCTACACCCCATGAGAATGAAAGATGTCAGAACCAGGACCCAGAAGTGCCCCAGGGTCCTGAGACGGGGTGGTGTGGGGCCAGGAGCCTCAGCCACACACCCACAAAATCCACAACCAGCCCAACAATGACCACTGACCTGCTGCTAGAAGTGCCCTGGGCTTCAAGTCAGGACTGTGGGGGGCTGAGGGCCTCAGCCGTGTCCCCCCTGACATCTGCAACCAGCCTAGAAATGACCACTGAGCCACTACAAGAAACACCATGGCATCCTGAGCCAGGGTTGTGGGGGCCGATGGCTTCAGCCACACCCCAAAGACATCTGCGTCCAGCCCAGCAATGACCAAGCTGCCACTAAAAGCCCCTCGTTTCCCCTACCAGAATGAGGGGGGTGACCCAGACCTCAACATGCCCCCCCTTCCTGCTACTCCCACCCTATCTCAATCCCTCTTTTCTTCTCCTCCTAGCCCCCAACTGCTCGGCAACATCTTAGAGTGTAAACAGTTAATAATCTAAATAAATAAGAACCAAGACCCTGGGCTGCGGTGTCTGGTGTTGACACGGTGTGGTTCCCTCTGGCTCCAGACGTCCTATCCCACCAGCAGCTGCAGAAGTCAGGGCTGGACTAAGGATGGTCTCGCAGACACTATACCTCACCTGACATATATCTGGAGTCCCCATCACCAGCACAACTTCTGGGCTTGACACTGGGAGCCACAAGAAGGGGTTGGAGTGAACGGGGACCTCAGTTTCACTGGTATCACACAATTCAGCCCATTCTCCCAAGGCCGACTCACCATCTCCAGAGACACACTTGTCCCTGCAGCTGAGCTCTGTGACCAGTGAGGACATGGCCGTGTGTTACTGTGCAGGACACAGTGAGGGGAAGTCAGCGTGAGCCCAGAAAGACCTCCCTGTAGGGGGTTACGGGACCACCAGAGGGTGCTCAGGACCCACAAGGGGTGCACAGGACTACCAGGGGGCACTCAGGGCACACTATGGGATGCTCAGCACACTGGAGTGTACGGGTCCCACCAGGGAAGCTCAGCACCTGCATGTGTCACTCAGCACCACCTTGGGGCACTCAGGACCCCCAGGGGACACTCAGGGCAACAGGGCACAGGCACACCCCAGAAACATGTAGGAGGCAGATGTGTCCTCAGTGAGTCTGGCCAGTGGTTCTGGTTTTCCTGAGTAAATGGCCTTTCACAAGGACTCTCCGACCCTGTCACCTCCATGTGCTTTCCTTTAACCCCACCCCATAGAGGGAGCCACTCACTGTCCTTGCCTAGCCAGTGTGAATACGGAGGAGTCTTTCACTCTTTCTTTGGCCTCTACTCCTGGAAACTGCAGTGTCAAGGAGGCAATTGACAAAACAGTTGGGCAGCAACAAGGGAAATGTTACTGCAACACCCGCAACCCAGTGACCTCAGGCTGCGACAGCACAGGCCAGGCTGCTCCTACCTGCTCTGCGGACGCAGCACATGGTGTTTTCACACCTGTAAGAAGAAGCCTGCTGGATGGAACTGCTCTGCATGTTAAGCTCATGTCAGAGCAAACTGTCTGGTTAACATGTTCTAATGTGAAATGTCCAAATATCACTTCAAGCTATTGTGGGGAGGAAAGGACGGGCCCTCTTCCTAAAACAAACGGAAACTGGGAGAAAATGAAACAGCAGTTTTCAGACCTTTGAAAACAAGCATCGCAGGATTGTGTCTCCTGAGGAAAGAAGAAACAAACCAGACGAATCCTCTATTACCTGGAGACAGTTACCAGGACACAGGAAGACAGAGGACACAAGCTTGGCGAGCTGAGGAGCAGAGCACAGAGGCCCAGGAGACCCAGAAGCTACAGAGTGTGGCAGGAATGCCTGAGAGGAGGCCACGGCACAGCGGACGGGGAGGGGGATGGCTGGGTTTGGGAGGGTCCCCTCACCTCCTTGGCTGAGAACAGACCCCTGCACCCACGAAAAGAAACTACTCAGTATCAGGGAAAGAATCACCAGTATCTGTATGGCTGACAGTATCTCCTGGGACAACAGTATCTCCAGGAACAACAGTATCTCCAGGGATGACAGTATCTCCGGGGACAACAGTATCTCCAGGGATGGCAGTATCTCCAGGCACAACAGCATCTCCAGGGATGACAGTATCTCCAGGGATGACAGTATCTCCTGGGATGACAGTATCTCCAGGGACGACAGTATCTCCAGGGATGACAGTATCTCCTGGGACGACAGTATCTCCTGGGACGACAGTATCTCCTGGGACGACAGTATCTCCAGGGACAACAGTATCTCCAGGGATGACAGTACCTCCAGGGACAACAGCATCTCCAGGGATGACAGTATCTCCAGGGACAACAGCATCTCCAGGGATGACAGTATCTCTAGGGACAATGGTATCTCCAGGGATGACAGTATCTCCAGGGACCCCAGGACATGCAAACACCGTGTAGATCCTGGTGTGGGTCCTTCCAAGGCAGAGGAGGGGGCACTTCTGCCCACACCCTCCCACCAGGACTGGGGAGGGGTGGCTGCATGTCTTTCTGTCCCACAGATGCTGTGATTGGAGAAGAGAAACAAGGGACATTGTCCCATGACTTGGTACCCATCCCCAGGACAGGTCGCCTTGAGGCCAGACTTTGGAAAACATCGTGGGTTTGCACACAAGCCACCCTTGGCAAATTCAGGAGCAGATCCCAGATCAGGGGGCGATGGGAGGAGACAAATGGGTATATGCATGGATGGGTGGGTGGATGGATGGATGGATGAACGCATGTGTGGTGATTGGGGGCATAGGAGGAAGGATGAGTGGATGGATGGGTGGGCATGTAGATGGGTGAGTGGATGTATCTGTGGGTGGATGGAAGGGCACATAGGTAGACGGACACAGGCACAGATGTGTTGTTAGATGGTTGGGTGGATTGGCAAATTCAGGAGCAGATCTCAGATCAGGGGGCGATGGGAGGAGACAAATGCTTGTTGGTCACTACAGTGACAGGGACATATGGAAGACAGCCACATGGAGAAGACAGAAACAGCATGAGGCCCAAATCTTATCCTGGACCAGGGCAGACATAGCCAGAAATCCCCCCACCCACCAACCTCCAGGGACACCAGAGTGGAGGATGCAGAAGTGGCTCCTGCCGGAGAAGGAGGTGCGAGTTCTTCACAGCCAACCCCTCTGCTACACCAAGGACATGGCCCAGGGTCTGCGCAGGAACACATGAGGAGGACCCCTGCAGAGGTGGGGGTCAGTCACCTCATGTCACCCTGAGAATCCACCTGGACCTGCCCTGAGACCCCTCCCAGGGGCCTGTGTGCAGAGACTAAGGACAAGAGCATCCTGCTGATCACAGGACACCAGGACAGCACCTAGGACCTTACACAGCCCCTGTCCCAAGGACACAGGAGGACAGGGTGCAGCCATCTCCTGTCACGGCTCTACACGCTGGCTTTTCTCTGGGGCCCCACCCTAAGAAGCCCATTACCTGGGGACTGGCCCTGAGCACTCCCCACCCTCTCTTCTTTCCCCACACTCCCTCCAGGGAAGCCCCAGGAAGCCACCCAGGGAGGGATGGGCAGGAGGATGGCAGCTGGACGATTAGGTCACAGGCTCTGTCACGGTGACACTAGCAGAAACAGATGACTATGAAAGTGAAGATGGCATGACTACACCACTGTTAGCCCACAGTGGCAGACTGTGGAGCAAATACCAGCAGACAGGGAGAGGGGTGGGGACCAGGGTTGCAGAAAGTCCTGCCCAGAGAGCCTGGGGCAGCCTGACCCAGGAGACTTTGGCAGGAGGGAGCCGGGGCATGACCCCTGCAGGCTGATGGGGATTTTGTGCAGGCCTCAGACACTGTGGTTATTCCTATAGCAGGGGCTCACAGTGACACACACCATGTATAAACTTGACCTATGGCCACCCAAAGCCCAGGCAGACTCAGACACTAGAGGCCCCCACCTAGCAGCCCAGCCCCACTTCAGGAGGCCCCAAGGAACAGGACACCTGGAGGATTCTGCACAGCCCCACGTCACGGTGTGGATGTTTGCAGCTACCACTGTGAGAAAGGCTGAGTCTAAAACTGTCCCTGTGGCCACCACAGAGGTCCAGCCTGAGGGTAGAACCCCCCACACCTCCCCAGCCTGGTGCCCACTGGTAACCTTCAACACTGAGGACACCTCTCAGTATCCTCATTCCTGGGTGAGAACAGGGATGGGGATGCTCGGCCGGTCTGGAGACGGGCTGGGCTCTGTCCCGGTCCTCCTGCCTCGGCCCTGGCAAACCTGGTCCCAGCCAACACTTCAGGGAGCGTCCCTCAGGGAGACAGAAGCAGCCCCACCACCATCACCCCTGGCAGGGGACACGGTCTTGACGCCCCACGATATCAGGAGCCAACTCCAGGGATACAGACACCCCACAGCCCCTGGGGCCCCACACTGGAAATTAGTCCCATGGGTCCACCAGGTTCACAGACCCCACGTGGGCTCTGTCCCCAGCTCAGGGCTGGGAGCTCATAGGAGCAGACACTGAGCTGTGGGCAGCACTAGGGACTGGAGCTCCACCCAGTCACAGATGCCCTAAGAAGCCCAAGACGCCGCGTGTCACTCACCCAGCACCCTTCCTAGGGGAAGGCACCTCCTGTTCAGGTCCCTATAGCCAGGGCTGGTCTAGGGTGGGGGCAGTGGGATGGGACCCAGGGCCTCCCTGAACGTGGTCCTGAGATCCTGGGGCCCCAGCACCCTGCTGACCTGGAGGCCTGGGCCTCAGCCAGACCACAGGTCCAGGGGCACCGCCCATCTCCGGAGCCCCACAGCTCACAGGAAGCAGATAAGCTGCAGCCAGCTCAGGGTCTCAGAGGACAGGATGCCTGGCTGGTTCTCTCTCCTCCCCACCTCCACCGCCACCTCCAGGACAACCCTGGGACCCTGTGCCTTAGGCTCCATGCTGGCCTCTTACCTCCCCGCAGCACCACAGGCCAGCCCTAGATGGGTCATCTCCCTCCGTTCTGCCTCCACATCCTCCCTGTGTCCACCTCTGACCCCACCTCACTCCCACAGCTGACACTCTCAGCACCCAGGACCCCTGACCCTCCTCTGCACCCACCCCCATGACCTCAGGTCCCACCTCTCTCCCTGTGTCCTCATGAAGAGGGTGTCATGGCTCTCACCTGGGGCCAGAAATGACAGTATGTCCAGGGACTCCAGGACATTCAAGCACTGTGTGGCTCCAGGCCTGGGTCCACCGAGGTAGAGGAAGGAGTAGTCATGCTCACAACCCCCACCAGGACTGGGGAGGGGGCCGCATGTCTGTCTGGCCCACAGATGCCATGACGGGAAAAGAGAAACAAAGGATGTTGTCCCAGGACTTTGTTTCCTGTACCCAGGACTGGTCACCTCGAGGCCAGGCTGTGGGAAATGCAGATTTGCACACAAGCCACCCTCAGCAAATTCAGGAGCAGATCTCAGATTTGGGGGCGATGGGGGGAGGCAGACATTCGCTGGCCACCCCAGGAACAGGGACACAAAGAGACAGCCACACAGAAGAGACAGAAACAGTGCGAGACCCAGAGCCTCTCCTGGACCACGACAGACATAGACAGGAAACATCCCACCCACCCACCAACCCCGAGGGGCCCCAGGGGAGGTGGGAACAGGAGGGGCCTCCTGCCAGATAACGAGGTGCAAGTCCTTCACAACCAGCCCATCTCTTACACCAAGGACATGGCCCAGGGTCTGCCCAGGAGCACATGAGGACCCCCTGCAGAGGTTTGGGTCAGTCACCCCAACTCACCCTGAGTTTCAGATCAAAACCCACTAGAAGGGCAGAAAGTCCAGCTCACAGTCAACCATGAGCCAGCAAGGGTGGGCCCAGGCACATGCCAGGGACGGAGGATTTTGCTGAGGCATGAGTCACCGTGAGGGTATTGTAGTGGTGGTACCTGCTACTACCACAGTGACACAGCCCTGTCCAAAAGCCCCACCCCACACCCATGAGCTCTTGGGGCAGAGCAGCTTCAGGCAGTGGATGGGAAGTGGTCCTGGCCGTGTCCACCACCTGCAGAACCCATCCAGTCATAGCCTGAGACCCCTCCCAGGGGACGTTGTGCTGAACTGAAGGACAAAGCTGATCACAGCAGACCAGGAGAGCACCTGGGACCTTCCACGGGCCCTGGAACAAGCTGTGTGAGGCTGGGATGGGGCGGGAGCAGGGCTGACTAAAGCCTGTTGCTGCTGCACTTGTGTTGGGAAGAGAATTCCAGGAGGACCCACCCTAAACTGGCACCTGAGATCCTCAGGGAGTGGGCCCGGGGGTGCCATGAATCTCTCCTCTCCTCATGTTCCACCTGCACCCCCCTGAACTCTCACTGGGACTTTATCACCTGGACTACACACAGCTGAATGGAGAATCAGGCAGACGGATCTGGAGGACAGATCTGCAGGAATTATCCAGAATGTGGAGCAGAGAAGCAAGCAGACAGAAAGCATCTGAGGCGGGGGCCGGGCAAGGCCTCAGGCGGGCTGGCAGGCGAGGCTGTGGCAGGAGCTGTGCACACCCTCCCTGCACCTTGCTGAGCAGAGCTGAGCTTCTGCAGCAGGGTGGGCCCAGGGTCTCCCCGCAGACCCTCATGTGCAAACACGCACAAACAGCGCGCGAGCACGTACCCCAAACAGAAAACAAACCACGCAGCCCTCCGCAGGAGAACAGGTCAGCGAATTCCAGCACGTTCCTGCAGTGGCCGCACAGACAGTACTGAGAATGAACAAGTTGGGTTGCAGGAGCCATTAGGTCTCCCCCGTTTCTGTGCAGAGCGATAGATGTAAAACAGCAAGTCCAAGCAAAAAAGACTTTTTATGTGACTTCCTCTCAGTAAACCTCAAACAGGGAAAAGTAAACTACCTTGTTGAGGGCACATTTTCCAGCTGGAAACCTACACAGAAAATCCAGACAACGGTTGTCACACAAGTCACGGGAGTGGTTTCTCCACTGGGAGAACGAGAAGGTGAGCAGAGGGACACACAAGGACGGAAAGTCTGAGATCAACAGCAGGAACCGTATTGCCTGGAAACAGCAGGAAAACTTCTAAAGACAGTGCGAGGATGAACACACGGAGCCATGTGCAGAAACGAGCTCCCCAGGCCTGTGCAGCACAGCACGACCATTAACCCAGGGCTGGATGAGTAAATGAGGGCACAGGGAATTCTGTAATGACGCGGGTCTGTATGTCGTACTTGAAATGCCTATGATGCGTCCTAGAAGAAGAGAAAAATGTCTCTGTACTGTAAAACTTCCTCCCCGGGCATCCCCAGGACAGGTGTTGGGGGTGGGGCAGCCGGACACCATCTACAGCTCCTGGGGGTCCCGTGTGGAGCTGGCGCAGGACCCTGACTCCATGGCCAGCCTCGCACCGGGAGAGGGTGGTTTCCAAGGACATGGAACAAGCCTGAGCTTGTGGGCCTCGCAGTGATCAATAACCACCACTGTGTCAACACCCACAGGACACTGAGGGTCCAAAACGGGTCAGACCCGGCCACATCCCAGGCGTGGAGTCCACTAGGGCCAGAGGGATGTCCATGCATGGGAAGGCAGAGCCCCTGCACTGTCACAGCCAACACCCCCTACCCAGGGGCTGCGAGCCCAGGTGTTAGGAGCACAGGGGAGCTGGGGCAGGGAGGAGAGTCAGGGACTAGAAACAGGCAGTGTCAGCACAGAATAGAAGCCAAACTGGTCTCACACAAGTGCACCTTGATCTCACCTGCACGTGGGCCTCACCTGCACCTGAGCCACACCTGCACCTGGGCCTCACCTGCACCTGGGCCTCACCTGTACCTGGGCCTCACCTGCACCTGGGACTCACCTCCACCTGAGCCTCACCTGCACCTGGGCCTCACCTGCACTGGAGCCTCACCTGTACCTGGGCCTCACCTGCACCTGGGCCTCAACTGCACCTGAACCTCAACTGCACCTGGGCCTCACCTGCACCTGAACCTCACCTGCACCTGGGCATTCATTATCTGCATCTGCTGTAGGTTCTGCTGGAACCACATTAGGACTGAGACTACAGGGTCACCAGCAGGGGTGGGACATTCCCTCTGGGAACAAGATTCTCTGACATCTCCAGTCTCCTGGTGGCTGATTGCAGGTGGACCTCAGCAATGACTGCACTCGAAGGCCAAGGTCCCAGGGAGAGCTCAGTGAGAGCCCAGGTCGTCCATAGGCAGCACACAAGGCCGTGTTCCTAGAGGACAGCTGTGCTCTCCTTCTGGGTTCCCTCACAGGGTGAGGAGCATGGTTTAGACCCTTTATTGAAGTCACAGCCACAGGAATGACTCCTGACCTCTCCCCCTCTAAGCTTCCTGAGTAGAGGCACCTGCTGTCCCCAGTAGAACACAAAGCCCCAGTTTGATCCCTGTATGGTATGGGAGCAACTATGATCTGAAGGGACATTGCAGTGGAGCAAACCGCAGTGGGAACAGACCCCTGTCTGGCTGGAGCCCAGGTCAGGGCTGGGAATAGTCACTGTCTTCCTGCAGGAGGGGCTGCCCCAGCTCCCAGCAGGAGACTGAGACTGCTGGGCCCCCAAAGCCACCCCTCAGGGCGTTACCTTCCTCCCCAGGTTGGCTCTGGACATCCAGGTTACCCCAGGCTCAGCCTATGGCCCCTGGTCCCCAACGATGGGATTAGGGCTGGAGGTGTCGTGGTGGTATTACTGTACTGTTGGACCTGCTAAAGCCACAGCATCACAGGGTCCATCAGAAACCCTGTCCCCAGGACACCCAAGCTACAGTCCTCCCTTCCAGCACCACTGAGCACCATGCTGGGATTCTGAATCAGGCCACAGCACCATGGGTACAGTGACTCCCACAGCACTCAGCTGTGACCCAAACCCATGGGACACAGGCACAGAGAACTCCCCACCCCGTGGCTTCCCCCAGACACTCCAGGATACCCACCAAGGGGATCCTGCCCACTGAGCCAGAGTGGATGATGAGACTCATGAACCACAGTCACCCCCAATGTCAGCCAAACCCAGCTCCAAGGGACTGCACCCCTGCCGACCGTCCCAACACCAGTCCCAACAGGAGGACCAGGCAGGACATGGTGACACCAGCAATCAGGAAGCCCCTCCCTCCAGGCTGGTGGATGTGCAGGGGCCACCACTGAGAGGCTCAGAGACCCGACTCCTTGAGGATGCTGTGAGCCCCGGGTGTGGGCAGGAGAACATGGGGGGAGGCTGTCCTGTACCCTGGCTCTGTCCCTGCCAAGGTCATTGCCCTGCCTGGCCAGCCACAGGCTACCCCAGCCACCCACACGCCCACCCTACAGCCTACATCACCCTGCACCTGACGCCTGACCCCGAGAAGATGCAGGAGTCACCTGGGCTATGTGGCCCCCCTGGGGCATACAAGGAAACTGAGGTGGGGACTCCTGTGCTCGGGAGCATCTGATTGGATTTGGCCTTAGAAATATTTCTCTCAAGGGGGAGAGTCGGGTGCAGGCTCCACAGAGTTTGCTGGAGGCCGCCCCTGTGTGGGCACCGGCCCTTCCTGGGGCCAGTCCTAAGAGAGAAGATGCTCAGGAGCATCCAGAGCCCACGGTGGTCCTGTGAGTCCTGCCGTTCCTCACTGTCACCAGGGGGAGCGGCCCCAGGACCCAGCTCCAACACTCAGAGACAAAGACTCTCCCAGAAATCCTCACCCCCTGTTCATGGGACAACCTCTCCCAAGGACTGTCCACTGCTGGATCCCAGAAGAGAAACCAAGTCTGTGTCAGGACAGCCCCCAGTAGACAAGGACTACGTGCTGCCTGCACAGCTACAACTGCAGGGTGTAGCAGCCACGGCCACCAGGACACGTCCTTCTCCCAGGCCCTCCTACAGCTCAGCATCTCATGGTTTGTCCCTCCCAGGAAAGCAGAGGACATGGGACCCTAGAGGAGCCAGGGGGCAGCCCAGGCCCCGGGCACAGGCCATATTGTCGGGGCCTCTGTCACTGTGCCTACTGGAGCAGTAGCTCCACAATGACTGGCCCTGTGTTCAAAACTCGCTGTCCACACCAGAGCCTGGCTGGGTCCCCACACGCCGTCCCCCAGCCACACTGGCAGTAGGCTGACCTCATGGATGGCTGAATTTCCCAGCTCCAGGGCCACAGCAGATCCCAAGGACAATGCAGCCTGGGGGTGCCCATGTGCTGGCCAGGAAAGGATGTGAGCTCCCGGGATGGTGGGTCCCGACTCCCCGTGTCCACCCCCTGCTGCCCCACAGCCCAGCCCTCCCATGCCTGACCCTCATCCAGAGGAGCTGCTCTGCCCTGCTCTGCCCTGGGGAGGCCCCCACCATGGTCCCCGCACTATGTCAAGGCCAGGGGAGGACAGGACAGAGCCCTCTCCTCACAGCCCCCCACACTGGCTCCTGCAGGGACCTCAGAGGGAGAACAGGGAATTCGGTCCCTGCGTGGCCCTCAGCAGCCCAGTGCTTTACTCTGGGAACCCCACCCTGAGAACCCCCTTTCCCATGGCCCAGCCTTGACCCTCTCCCCATGCTCCGCTCTGTCCTCATCGTCCCCTGCAGAGAAACCACCGAATACCATCCAGGGAGGGGTGGGCTGGAGGCTGGGCAGCTGGATGATTTGGTCCCAGGATCTATCACGGTGACACTAACAGAAGAGGTTACTAAATAAGACTATGAACTGCTGAGCTACTGCACTGTTGGCCCCACAGTGGCAGGCTACTCAACAGAGACCAGCAAACAGGAAAAAGGGTGGGGCCAGAGCTGTCTAAAGTCCTGTCCAGGGAGCCTGTGGGTACAACCCCAGCCCAACCCAGAGGACATTGCCTGGACCTTGCATGCCAATGGGGATTTTGTGCAGGCCTCAGACATGGTGGTGATTATGATAGTGGATACGGATACACACAGTGATACAAGCCACACCCAAAACTTGCCCCACATCTGCCCAGGCAGCCTCGGATGCCAGAGAGCCCTGCCCAGCAGCCCAGCGCTCCTGGAAGAGGATCCGAGCCACTGGACACCTGGAAGATTTGTGCAGCCCCGCGTCACAGCGGCACGGTGGGAGCCACCCCTATGAGAAAGTCTGCATCTAAAACTGACCCGTGAACTCCAGGGAGGACCAAACAGGAGGCCTCCAGCCCAGGGCCCGCTGGTCACCTCAACACCAGGATGCCTGCAGTGCTCCCACCATCTGCTCTCTCCTCCTCCTCCCTGCAGGGAAGCCCAGGAAGCCACCCAGGAACGGACGGGCGGGAGGATGGCAGCTGGACGATTTGGTCACAGGCTCTGTCACGGTGACCCTGGGATGAGACCTAGCTCCAGTGGGGTGATATTCACTACACCACTGTCACCAGCGAACACATGGGGGATGGGACACTCAGGGCCACACGGGCCTCTGCTGTCCTCTGTCCTCGTGATCTGAACCCCCAGGCCTTGAACCAGCCCACCTCCCCCTCCTACCTCTGACTGTCCACATCTGTCTCCCGAGCTCTGTCTACCCTGGAACCAGCAGGGCAGGAGTAGACATAGATGCGGGGGCAGGGGAGTGGCAGAGCAATGACAGGGAGGGAAGGAAATGGGGGAAGCTCAGCTCAGGAACCCCGTCTCTGCCCCATGGGCCCTGGTAGGAATCCTCATGCTGGGACCTGCAGACGCCCCTCCCCCAGGGCTCTGGAAGGGACAGGCAGGAGACAGATTCTGCACGGGGCCCTTTCACTGTGGAATACCCCACGGTGGCTCCAGCCAGACCCAATATCCCTGGAAGATCCCTCAACTGTAGCAACCATGTCTGGGAAACAGGCATCCCAAAGACCACACAGGACCTACAGCCCATCAGGCCCCAAGCCAGAAGGAACTGTGAGTGACAGTCAAGTAGTCTGAGTGACATGGGGCCCAGCACACATGGGGCACGTCCTGTCACCGGGCAGAAATGAAAGCTCCCCTGTGCCAAGGCTCACTGAGCCTGGAGCTCCATGAGCTCAGGAGAAGAGAGAACATGATGGAGGGACCCGCCGCTGAAGGTCAAGCAAAACCAAAGGAGACCTGGGTCAAGTGACAGGGGGACTGCACAGGCCAGGTGTTTTCTGATGGCATCTGTATCACAGTGGGATGGTAGTGGCTGGTATCAGAGTGACACTTGACAGGCCAGAAACTGTGCCCCCTAAGTCAGGCCCAGGGCTGGGTCCTGAGAGCCGAGCATGGCATTCAGGTGCAGCACCCGCCCTTCCAGCCCGTGAACATCTTCCCAGTGGGGCGTGGGCAGCCCCCACACCCACTCCATGCAGGAGGGTCCCCCATCACCCTCCCCATTGGAGGCCAAACTGCTCAGAGAACCTGGGGCCTAAGGACCCCGGCCAACCCAGAAAACCTCTCCATAAGGAAGCCTGGGAATGGCCCTGTAAGTCCCTAGGAGATTTTTTGCAGAATTCGGACAGGGTGGTTATTGCTGCAGCTGAAGCTCACAGTGTGACACACTACGTGCAAAACACGGCTTGTGGCCTCCCAGAGCCCAGGCAGGCTCAGACGGGCCCTTGGCTGCTGGAGACCCCTGCCCAGCACCCACCCCTCCCCAAGGGGGCCCTGAGGCCCAGGACACCTTGAGGATTCTGAGCAGCCCCACATCACGGTGGGTCCAGTGCGAACTCCACTGTGAGAAAGGCTGACTCTCAAACTGTCCCTGTGGCCACCCCAGAGGTCCAGCCAGAGAGGGAGCGCCCAGCACCCTCCTAGCCCTGTGCCCTTCAGTGAACTTTAGCACCAAGGACACTTCTCAGTGTCCTCATTCCTGGGTGAGAACAGGGATGGGGACGACACTTCGACAGTCTGAAGAGGGGCCGGGCTCTGTTTGGTTCTCCTGCCTTGGCACTGGCACCTCTGGTCCCAGCTGATATTTCAGGGAGCGTCCCTCAGGGAGACAGGATCAGCCCCACCACCATCACCCCTGGCAGAGTACATGGTCTTGACCCCCCACAACATCCAGAGCCAACTCTAGAGGTACAGAAACCCCAGGGCCCTGTGGGACCCCACACTGGGAATCAGCCCCATGGGTCCAGCAGGACCACAGACCCCACCTGGGCTCTGTCCCTGACTTAGGTCCAGGGGTTCATGGGAACAGACACTGAGATGGGGGCAATGTTAGCAACTGGAGCTCCACCCAGTCACAGACCCCCTAAGAAGCCCAGGACTTAGGGCATCACACACCCACCACCCTTCCTAGGGGAAGGCACCTCCTGCTCTGGGCCCTACAGCCAGCACTGGTCTCTGGTGGGGGCAGTGGGATCAGACCCAGGGCCACCCTGTCCTCAGCCCTCAGATCCTATGTCCCCAGTGCCCACTGACCTGGAGGCCTGGGCCTCGGTCAAACCACAGGTCCCGGGCAGGCCCAGGGGCACCCCTCAGCTCCATGAACCCATGGCTCACAGGAAGCAGACAAGCTGTAGCCAGCTCAGGGCCTCAGAGCCCACCCAGCCCCCTTCCTGCCTTGACACCAGACCTCCTGTCCCTCCCATCCGCCAGTTATGCAGAGACAGGGTCGTGCTCAGGGCAGTTCAACCTGCACCTGCAATCGCCCAGCACACACTTCTCTGCAGCTCCTCTGTTGGGTTTCCCACCAGCAGCACGTTCCTTTCTCCCTCCCCGCAGCACAACGCTTCCGTCCTTCCTGCAGGGGAAGAAGCCCCAGAGCCTCCCAGGGGAGTCAGCCTGGGCCTCGCCTCACGTCCATGAGGACAGGGAGCCTGGCTGGTGCTCTCTCCTCCCCACCTCCACTGCCACATCCAGCACAACCCTGGCATCCTCGCCCCCGTGGCCATCAAAGTGGCCCAACAAGAGAGGGGAGCCCTCAGCACCACCGCAGCCCAGTGCCCTCCAGTAACCCTCAACAACACAAGGATGCCCCACAGTATCCTTATTCCTGGGTGAGGACAGGGATGTGGGTGCTGAGCTGGTCTGGGGAAGGGGCTGGGTGTGTCCTTCACAGCCAGCCCCTCTCCTAGAACAAGGAAGTGTCCCGGGGTCTCCCCAGAAGCAGGTGAGGACGCCCTGCAGAGGTGGAGGTCAGAGGGACCCAGACTCACCCTGACTATTAGACCAAACTCCAGTGAATGGGCAGAATCTCCAGCTCAGAGCCTCACTGAGCCAGCAAGGGTGGGCACAGGGACACGCCAATGCTGGCAGGATTTTGTGGGGGCGCGAGTCACTGTGGGCATATTATAGTGGTAGCTACTACCACAGTGACACAGCCTGTTCCAAAAACCCCACCCCAGACCCACACACTCTGAGGGATGACGGGCTCTAAGCAGCATCTGGGAAGTGGGCCTGGCTGTGCCCATCAACCTGCAGAACCCACCTGGTCCTGCCCTGAGACCCCTCCCAGGGGCCATTGTGCAGAGACCAATGACAGAGGACCCTGCT